CTTGCTCCTCGAGCTATTCCCCCCCCGGATAACCTAGGTTTTGGAAGATCCCATTACCCTAGAGGAGGTAACCCATGCCGCCCGCCAGATAGCCAAAGGTAAGTGTCCTAGGCCAGACGGCTTACGCACTGAACTCTTCCTCTCTGCTTGGGGTGCTTTCGAAAACTTGGGTTTCTGGGACCTTGCCCAGAGGTTTGGCTAAGAGAATGATTTCGCTTATGTATAAGAAAGGAGATAAACGGGAAATATGGAACTGGTGGTCGATCTCGGTCCTAAATGTTTCACTTAAACTACTAGCTAAGATCCTAGCCCTGCGATTGGGCCCTTTGCTCCCGGACTTGGTGGGAGGGGAACAAGGAGCCTTTGTCAAAGGACGGTCCATTTTTGATAATATTCTAGCGACCGTTCAAGCTTTGGAGATAATTGGCAAAGAGAAGAGAGAGATTGCTATCCTCATGCTTGATATAGAGAAAGCCTACGATAAAGTAGGTTGGACTTTCATTAACACAACACTAATCAACATGGGGTTTGGAAACTACTTTCGTACCTGGATAAAAGCAATGTACTCTAAAAGAACGACGTCAGTCCTTGTCAACGGTTTTCAATCAAAAGAATTCGTTTTGTCCCGCTCTCTTAGGCAAGGGTGTCCGTGAGCCCCTTTGATTTTTGTACTACAGCTTGAAGTGCTTTTAGCAAGTATTAAAATGAATTATCAGATTGTGGGTTTCCGTTTGGCCCCCTCGTTCCATTGGAAGGGGGGGGGGATAGCAGACGACTTGACAGTCGCCTGTGAGAACACAATATCTAGCATGTCAAAACTACGTAGGATATTAGACGACTATTGTATTCTATTAGAAACCTCAATAAACTGGGATAAGTCGGTTTATTTTCTCCCCCCGTCCTTTGACCTCTGTGTGGATTGGGGACTTCGACAAATATCGGCCAACTCTTCGAACATATTTTTGGGTTTTCAAGTCTCATTCTCAGATTGTGCGAAGGTGCAGGACAACATACTGGTTGACAAGGTGGTAGCCAGAATCGTTGGTTGAGAACGACGCTCTCGGCTTTCTCTGTTTGGCAGGGCGTTACTCCTCTCATCCTCGGCCTTCTCCCTCCTTTGGTTTCCCCTGACCATTATGCTTTAGGGAAGGGAGCATATAAAAAGATCAGAACAGCTGCTGCGAGATATCTATGGAAGCCTAATGCCATAGAGGACCAGAGCTTTATATCCAAAGTGGCGTGGGATTGTGGCGACACCAAGAAAGAAAGGGGTTCTGGGAGTGTTGGATGCGCTACAGCAGAACACGGCCATGCTGGCGAAGTGGCCTCTTTTAGCCATGCAGGAGACAGATACAAAAATGTAGATGTTACTAGCCGAATGCATATTAGGTACCGAATGAGACCTACAGGATCACACCAAGGTGTGGGTGTGTATGCTTCTACCATCCTTTTGCAGCTGCAGACCGAACTCTAAGATATGGAGGGGCATCCTGGGAGCCTAGAAGAAGATCAAGCCGCCAAGTGACCTTCCTCCGTCGTCCAAGCAGGAAGTACTGAACCAAGTACTATTTGAGAATGAATACATTAAGCAGCCTGATGGGCATTGGTTTGCTGTTTCAAATCCCCCAGAAGCTTCGGAGGAGGATGGATCAAGAAAGGAAAAATTTAGGTTAAAGACATCTAGGACACGGATCAGGCAAGATTGTTAGATGCATCCCAGATCAGAAGCAAACGTCCAAGATTGCATAATGTGCAGGTCACTATTCAGCCTTGGTGGAAGTCATCCCTGCACAATGGATAAACCTGCTCCAACCAGATACAAAACATTTGGTGGGAACGTGGCTTCGGTCGCAGACACAGCCTGGCCAGATTCTGCAAATTTTGGGTCCAGACCTGCCGTCTGGCCTCCAGGTCCAACAATGGAGACCTTCAGCCAATTACACAGGCGTATCCTCATGTACCTCCTCTCTGATAATGGAGGATAAGGATTCACATCTAGATGCTGCAACGGGGATGGTGGAGGTTAGGGTCTTGTTACAGAAAGCAAGGCAAGGAAACGCGAAAGCTACGCTGCTACGGGACACCGACACCTTCCGGGTAGAGCCACTACTGCTGGGATGGAAAGGCCAAGAAGGTATTGGGACCTTTACCCCCATCTGCCGATATCGAGCGAAGGTAGGAGTACAAGTACTCCAAGAGAGAATCAAAAGGAAAGCGATAACCTTGGCAGTAGATAGAGTGGTATCCCACCAATGAGCAGGAATCACTGCTTCTAGCATCACAAAATTCTGGAGGGCACTGAGGAGTTACCCGGTCCAAAAACAGGCTAGTATTATGTGGATTCAATCTCTCCTTGTTACCCCAACAGCCACGTGGCTGGCAACCAAGGGGATGGAAGTCTCCTCGCAGTGTCTCAGATGCAATTGGGGGTGGGAGAACATGGTCCACCTGTAGTTGTGCTATCCACTTGCAGACGAAATCAATCTTTGGTGGACATCCCACTGGAATAACATAGTTGGAGGAACATTTGACTGGTCGGACGCCTGGATGCTTACAGGCATCCTCCCACGGAATCTGTTATACTCCTCCGGGTGGGGCTATATTGCCCTTTGTTGTCGAGAGTGTTGATGGAAACCGTTTGGGCTGCCAGGAATGCCAGAGTCTTCAGAGGCGAAGTTATAGCTAAAAGACATCAATAGCTGCAGATCAAACAAGGTATCAAAAGGATAATTAGAGCGGATTGGCATCGCAAGAATATCATCTGGTTCCAGAAAACCTGGGCCCGAGATAACAGACTTGCTTCTATTAATCAAGAGGGCCGCTTTACGTATTGTACTTGGCTATCTGACACTCATGACTAAAGCTCCTAGGCCGACGTTAGGCCGAGCCAGGGATTTTTCTTTAAGTGGATAATTGATTGAATAGTATCTTTTCTGAATAGTTGCTTGCTGACTACCCTGTGGTTTGGGAGCTCGACACTTTCTTTGGACATTATGACGGTAGCCCCCCCCCTTTTTTTTTTACGTGAGCTTCAAGTTTTTTTTGGAAAGTACTCCCGGGATGAATGGGACGCTGGACCCGGTTTCCAGCTAGGGCTGTGGAGTTATTCGGAGCAGTTATGAGGAGACCCGAGCTATGCTCGTAAGCGAAACTGGCTGAGGCTGCCAGGATAACTCCGGGTTGAATTGTGAGGTCCCCGGCCTCGTCCCATTGTTTTGTTTTGTTTGTTTGTTGGTTTTTTTTTTTTTTTTTTTTTTTTTTTTTTTTTTTTTTTTTTTTTTTTTTTTTTTTTTTTTTTTTTTTTTTTTTTTTTTTTTTGCAAACAATCACTTCTTTATATACCAAACCCATAATGGGAGGGCGGGGTCCTCACAATTCAACCCGGAGTTATCCCGGCAGCATCAGCCGGTTTAGCTTAGATTTCAACCAATTTCCCTGTTAAGATTCAGAGGATAAGTCACTCTCCTCCTTCTGCTACTCAATCAACAAACTCTATCAGACAGAAGAGGCAAGAAGAAAAACAACAGCCATCAGGGCTGCAACCTTTTCAACTTTTCTGGACAACTTGCTGCAGAATTCCACTACCACTGGGATCACAACTCACTACTAAGATCGATATACCAAACATTGCCTACCACCTAAATGCCAATACCAACCTACCTCCTACCAACTTCTCCTACTGCACAGGCCTACTCGGCCTGACACCGGCCTAAAACCGGCCGGTTGGAACAGACGTTCCGAGTGACTCTGGCACTCTCACACCCACCTCCCCTGTTTGACCTACAGCGGCCCAAACCCGAACCGAGCTGCCCTGGTTCCACCCCCAACCCTCTCAACCCTGTAAACACTTTGAAACAATTAGGCCCTTCTCCTGATGGACCCCCGCCAAGGTGTTCCTAACCGCCCACGTTCTCAGGAACCACCAAAAATCCCTTCTGGTCGCCTTCCCGCATTTCGCCCTCCTTCTCCGATCAGCCCAGAGTCTCCAGATCCGCAAAAGGGCGTCCCTCAAATCAGGAGCGATTCCTGTCAGCCCAGATAACTGAACAGATCACTGCTCTGGCTACCTGGGCAACATAGGACCAACCCCGTTTCCCTGTCTTCTCCTTCCTCACGAAACCCAAAAGAACCCATCTCTCATTCCATTCCACATCTTCACCCCCCATACGCTCCCAATTGTCCGCCCACCAGGCCCAGATGCTTTTCGAAGCCGGACAGTCCCACCACAGGTGTTTGGTTGATTCAAAAGGCCAGTTACACCTTGAACAGCCCTCTGGAATGTCTAATCCCCTCCTACTCAACCAAACCGCCGAGGGCGTAAACGAGATTAACCATAGAATACTGGCCCACTTCCGATCAGGAACGATCTCCAACACCTCCCACAATTTTGCAAAGTCGTCTGCACGGTCCTGAAGATCCAAGTGTAAGACTGAGCTCCATCTGGAGATTGTCACGTCAGTGGGTGATCTGGTCCTTGTGTCTGCCAACCTATACGACTCCTGAACTGTATAGGTGACCAAGTCACACCCCTCTGCACAGACTGTAGTAGGCTTACCTTTGCTCCAACCCCACGCTCTGCGGTCGATTGGCAGGGACCTCAGAGGGGCATTGCCTACCCACACCGCAGACTTAAGGCCACCTCTTTTGTCAAGATTTTCAATCATCCTTATCTGCCGGGGGGTTCGCCACTGAGTAATGACTTTTTCTCCCATTGTTTGATTGCAATACAAATGTAAGCTTTCCCAGGACAAAAAAAAAAAAAAAAAAAAAAAAGACTCTCCGAGGGGTGATACAAGCACCTCTCGGATTGGGGCCTGCGTTAGATGACTCCGATCTATTCGTGGGGAGTGTCACGTGCTGGAAAACGGGTCCAGCGTCCCAAAAATTCCCAGATGTTCATAGATATAAAGCTTGTCTTGTAGACCTGTTCACCCTGTGGGCGCCAGATCAGACATCCTAGGTACAGCATTTGCGCCCGCCAAGGTTGTGACGGTTCTCGTCCCGTGATCGCTGCATTTTGGCATTTGGCAAATACCGACCGTTGCACCCGCTTGTCCTTTTGTGCGGCTCTTCGCGCCAGCATCACTTTTCGTTCCCCTCTTCCGCCGTTGGCTTGTTTCGATGCGAAATTGCAAAGTTGCCTGGTGTTTTTCTTAGGAACCCCCTCCCTCCCTTCCTCCCTCCCTCCCTCCCTTTTAACGAACCGCCATATCCAGCGTGTTCCATTGAGGGGATCAAGCTTGCTGCAGTGGACGTCGGCGGTCATCCACTCATCCAGGTGAGATTGCCCTTTCCTTTTCGTTTTTTTGTCCCTCTCCTGCTCCCTCGTCGTCTTCTTCGTCTATCCCTCCGCTTCGTCTCCGACACATCCACCCGATTTTATTTATTTTTATTTTATTTTATTTTGTCCAGGTTGTTGTTATACAGGCCGGATACCAGGGATATGACGGTCACCTTTCTGTAGTCGGCCATATGGAATCTTCTTACGGAACCACCTCCCTCCCTACGTCGCGACAATTTTTCCGGCGCACCCCTTGCTCCCCAATCATGCCTCATGACAAGGACCATCATCCAATCACCCCAACGTCCACCCGATTTTTTTTTTTTTTTTTTTTTTCTTTTTGCTCGTCCAGCAGCATTCCATCCCGTGTCCAACTCTACCCCGCCTTTTCCGTCGGCAACCCTTTTCCGACGCCAATCGGTACGGCGAGGGTAGATCGTCTTTTTTTTTTTTTTTTGATCGTCTTTTCCACCAGTACCCACTCCTCCTCTTCGCCTCCCATAATTTTTTCTTCCGCCTCCTTGTCAGTCACGTCACCGATTGTCCGCTCTATTCCCTCGGTCGCTCTCCCTCTCTCATCACAATTTCTTTATTCATTCCAGTAATTATAATAGGTTTATATCCGAATTTCATCCTTTCAATATGGCAAAATGCTCTTTCTATTTTATAATAAGCTTATTAGTATAATTGTTTTTCTCTTAAATAATTGTATTAAATATGATAACTATTAGACCTGTGTTAAATATATAATATAAAATAAAAAGGATATAATTATCTAATTATTAAGGATATAAATAATAATAATAATATAATATATAATGTATATAAAATTATATATTATATTATATATATATCGTTACTATAAAGAGAATATTGTAGTGTAATTGTAACAATCAATGTGATCCCGGCTTTTATATAAATAAAAAAAATCATGGAAAAAAAAAAACAATCAATGTGATCAAATGAAGATATTTGTCCCGATCGCGATGCCAGCGCTACGACGCACGTCTCCCCAGTGCACCTCCGCTTTCTCGTCTGCACGGTCTCCTCCTGCCACCTACTGCCCTTCTCTTCCACCGTTTTTTTTCTTCTTTTCAAAACTCCCCTATCGCCATCCTAATGTTTTTCTTCCACCTCGGCCACATATCAGTACAGCCACATCTATCATCACCATGCAATCGCGGCGACGATGACGTCATCATTTCGCGCGCCGTCATTTTTCCTTCCTCAGACGAAAGAGCTGGGATAGGGAGAGAGTGTCAGATACACACCTCCTCCCGAACCCTCGTGTTCCACGTGTCATCCGTTACCTCATTGCCATCGGCTCCTCAGCCAATAACTGCAGTCTCGTATCTTTTGTACCCATCATCCTGGTCCAACCTATGCCTCTCTCTCTCTCTCTCTCTCTCTCACACACACACACACACACTCTCTCTCTCTCTCTGTGTCTCTCTCGCTTGCTCGCTCTTTCTCTCTGGTCTCCTCCCTCCCCATCCTCCCCGCCAACTCCACCCCTCGCTACTCCCCGGCGTGTATCTATGAGTGCGCTAGTCCCCGCTTGTCCGTTGGATTTTTTTCGCCTCTGCTGTTTCCTTGAGGGGTTGTGAGGCATCCTAAGGGGTCTTACCGACCTGGACCGGGTAACGGGATCGAGATATACTGTAGTATTGACTAGTCGCTACCCCCTGTTATGTGCCACTTTTGTCTGTTTTTGCAAAGAAAAGCACTTCTTCTCCCGAAGTTACGGAGTCATGTTTCTGTTTGTGGCGGTGGCTTGTGTATTTTTGATTGGTCGATCGTTCGATCTCTAATTTTTGGTCTTTTCTTGTTTCATCGGTGAATCGGTCGATCGTTTTTCAGCGTCGATTGATCAGCCGGCGAAGGAGAGGAAATGGCGCACATGAAGAGGGTGCACTCCGACAGCTTGCCTGCGAGTCCCGATCCCGGTGCAGATGGGGTCATCAAGGAAGATGAGGATGCCGAATTGGCAAGGCCCCGGAAGATGACCAAACCCAATCTTGCAGACGGGGGGGAGGATGCGGAGATGGAGCAGGATGTGGAGGCTCGGTCAGTGGGGATGATGGTTGGTGATGACAATGACCCGACTACCGCGCAGCAGGGGGAAGATGGGGACAGAGAGGGCGAGACGAAGGAGGCCGACGTGGCAACTATGGATGCACATGTTGAAGGGAAAGGGACCATAATTTCAGGGGGCACGGTGGTAGAGGAAGGGGAGGAAGTCGTATCCCCCGCCAAAGCTGCGCAACCCACCATAACAGCAGCAGCAGCAGCTGATGGGATCGAAAGAGAGAGAGGGAGGGTAGCCAGCTCATCGGACGCCGCACCGGCAGAAGGAAATGGGGAAATGTCCTATGACCAGTCCACTAATGGGGTCAGGTCGATCACATCAGCAGCGGCGATGACGCTCGCGCCTGGGGCCCCTTCAACCTCCAGGATGGGTGAGGGAGAGCGGAACTGCGACCCAACAGGAGGAGGAGGAGTTGCGCCTGCACTTGCGCCTCCGCCTGGCCCCTCCACTACATCTCCTTCCCCTTCCCCTTCCCCGTCTCCCTCCCCTTTCTTCAAGACGACCTTATGCGGTTATTACCGCAAGAGTACATGTCGACACGGTGCAGAATGCAAGTATGCTCATGGGGAGGAGGAGCTGCGGCCTCGCCCAGACGGAACTTACGATCCTAACTCGGTGAAGGGTGGGGGAGTAGGGGGGAAGAAAGCACGTGGAGGAAAGAACGCCAAATGGGAACAACAGGAAGCAGAGGAGACGTTCGCGGGCGATAAAGACAAAGGTGTAACAATGCAACAGCTCCTGGAGAGTGAGGAGAGAGCGGAGAGAGTGCAGGGCACCAGGAATGGGGATCTGCTCCATGTATGTGTCCTCCATCTGCCCCCTTGGTGGCAGACGGCCGACCTCCGCAAGCATCTTGATGAATTGGTAAGCCCAATGACTGCTTCCTCCTCTTCTCACCCATCTCGCGTGTGTCCCAACCTTCTTTCTCCTCCCCCCCCCCCCCCCCCCCCCCCCCCCCCCGCCGCAATTTTCCCCACCCCGCAACCGCCCCGAATTTAGCCGTACACTGGGTTATTGCCTGACCACCCTGCCATCTTCCCCTGAATAGAACATACGGTCATTATCGCTATATATAGACTGCAAGGCGTCCCAAATACGGGTATAATGACCTTACGTTCTATTTGCGGGAAGACAGGTGGTAGGGAGTTTAGATCATGAGGGGAAGGGGCATTGGATTGACAAACGTTTTTGGAAAGAGCATGCATGACTGTCACAGTGCCTTGTTTTTTCTTAAGTTGCAACTGAAAAGGCAGATGGAAAAACGAGATGGAAGACATTGGGCCTCGTTCCACAACGCTGGAAATGTGCGAAACGAGAGTGAATCTTCCATTAGAACAAGGAAAGATACATCGCCATGATTTTGTCTTTTGTGCATTTCTGGAGTAGTGGAGCGACGCCTATTGAACCACCTTCCCTGGCAGCTATGGCGGTCAGCTGGCTTCCATCATCTGTTACCTTTTGTCACCAAATTGAAAGAATATCCATCATACTATGTTAATGTCAATTGAGCTGATGTTACCTGCTATCAATTTGAATTTTGAACTGACTGGTATTTTCTGCTGTGCCTCACTACACTACCTCCTGGCACTCTGCTCTTCTGGTGTTGTTGTTGCACAGCTCCAGGCTGAAAAGCATTCAGCCCACCACCAATAGATGGGAGCCATCAATGTCGGCAAGGCCTCAATTTTGGAATGCTCCTTTCAATTCCAAAATGGAGGCTTGCCGCAATAATGTTCCAATTAAGAAAAAGAAACAGGACGATGAGATCCAACAAACTAGGCCTTCTAGCTGTCTCTAGTGCATCACTAGGTCCTTTTTCTTTATCTGTTTACGTTTAAACCACCAGTACTTGGCCCATACATCAGCCGCGGGTCCTTCCCGCGACTTGAGTGGCCTGTAGACCATTCATAAATCCCATCAATGGCCTTCGTTGCATTTATGACCTCTGAAAGTTGCAGTAAAGGGCCTTCGGCTGATGTACGGGCCATCCTAAAGCCATGCCCGTTACCGCGCCAGAATTTTAGGAAACGTACGGGCCACTATAGGAGCGCCCAAATTCATCCAACTAGAAATGTTTCTACTCTATTTTTTCCCACGGCCGATAGCTGGGCCAAATACTGGTGGTTTTTAAACACATTGACTCGTCCCTTACAAAAAACCCACTGCGGGCCTTGCCAAAAAAAAAAACACTCCACTGGCCTTTGTCGAGAGAAGGTTAACAACAGTCGTATTTTTCATCACCACTTCAGGATGCAGCCTGCCTAAACAGGTGGTTTTCAAGGTCTTCGGACCTTTCCCCACTTCAGGACACCCTTTACCACTTTAGGATGCAAACAGGTGGTTGTCAGGGTCTTCTGACCTTTCACCACTTCAGGACCGTTCAGGTCTGAAAATCCTGAATGGTCTTGAAGTGGTGTGGTCCGAAAGTCGAAAAGAAGTGAGGGCATCCATGCAACTTGCCCGGCCAACCCATCCTCATGTTCCTCGTCCGACCACCCCGTCCGAACCCGTGAAGCAGCTTTGCGCAGAAAGTCGCGCTGTTACGGAAAACAGTTCGTCAGAGTGCAGCGAGACCCAAACAGTGGTAGGTGACAAAAAAAGCAGTTAGAAGGGGGAGGGGAATAGTTGAGAAATGAAAAAAAAGGGAAGGTGGAATGAGCCAGATGCCTCCCAGGGTGAATTGGGGACAAAAGAAAGGAAAAAGGGAGTGTCCAGGTACAATGTACCTAAAAATTGTAACCCTGGTGTGATCCAGGTGCAGTAGCCACAAAGGGGGTAGGGGAACATGTGTTTTAGGTACATTGGAGGTTAAAAAAGTGACTTGGTGCAGTCGGGGTTCAAATGGGCCTTGGGGAGAGCCAAAAGGAAGGTTCTTGGGAGAAATGGAGGAAAAGGAGGAGGGAGAGAGGCCCCACAGGAGGTTTCAATACATTTCAAATAATCCTAGGGCTGGGAATGATGTTGAAAGCTGGTCCGAGGAGCTAAATCCAAGGGCCAAGGCTGTCCCTTGCAAAAAGAACAACCCATAGAGGGAAAAATGGGAATTTGGGATTACGTATGCGGGAACAAATGCGTGGGGGCTAATAATAACAGCTCGAAATATCTTGGACTACCTATGTTAGATATCAAGGGCCTAAATTACAGCTGGAGGCTAGATCTAGGACCTAGGACAAGTTGAAATAAGATATATAACATAGGGTAACAAAGTTGTTGATAAAGGGTTAGAAATGAGAGATATGGTACTTAGGGCCTAAATTACAGCCGTTGCACAAGATATGCCATTGTTGATAAAGGGTTAGATTGAGACTAGCAAGTCCCGGAATGAGAGATATGGTACTTAGGGCCATATCTTGTGCAACGGCCAGGTACAGTGCATGTACCTGGCCTGGGATGAGGGCCAGGTACCTTGGAGAGGCTAAAAAATAAACCTTCAGCCTCCCATGGGCTGACTTTAGATATGGAAAATTTTATGACCAATAAAAAAGGGGAAAAAACACAAAACTTGTAGCCTGGATTTTCTTTGGGCCGTCCATCTTGACAAAGATCAATGGCATAAAGAAAAATTCGACCCAAGAGCCTAGCTCAGTGGGTACACCCATGAACTGTTGAAATACAGACGAGAGTTCGATTCCAGATGATGGTTCTAGATGAATAAAACCAGATATTTCTGAATTGCCTGAATTGCCTGGGGCCGGCAGCTCAATGATGATATCTCAAGGTCGTCGACCTCTAAAAAAAAAAATAAAAAAATTTGTCTTTTTAGCAGCTTCCTCTCAGAATGGATAAATACAGAATGAAGTGGCTGCCAAAAATGAAAGGAAACAAGGAAAAGAAAAGAGACAGTCGGATGTACTTACCGTAAAATGAGACCGGGTACATGTGGGAGTGAAGCTTGCACCTTGGTGCCTCTCTTTATTTTGGGCAAGATCTAGCCCGAGGAAATGACCAGATCTAGGGCCAGGAATAATCCAAGAACCACCCAAAATCGAGGGGAAGCTAGAAAACATCGAATATGAAGCCCAAGGACCTGCAACCAGTAGTAAATTTCGCCCGTTGGCCATCCAAGATCAAGCTACAGAATCCTGCCACAAAAGACAGCAGTTTTTAGGCAACCTTAGGTAGTTCAAGAGACCTCCCACACCTTGCTGCTCCAAGCCAGCCTCTAGCCTATACTGGCAAGGGAGGCTGGCCAAGCAAGCACAATTGCCTCTTCAGCTTGCATGTTGGGCATTATGATGCCGGTTGAGCTCTAGAGTTGCTCCAAAGTGTTGGGCAGTGAAGCGCTATGCTTGGGGGAGGGGAAGTGAGCACTTTGGCCATGATAGGGTACAGGGAGGCTAGGGAGGGGTAGCACTGGCCTATGGAAAGGCTCCACCCCACCTTGGAGTAGGTAGGTGGAGGAAAGCGCCGGAGGGAGCATGCCATAGTTCTCCTAGAGGGGTGGGCTCCATCTTCAAGCTTAGGGGGAGGTCAATCATAGCCTAGACGCCCCGAATTGTGAGTTTAGGCTGTCCAAGGTAGAGAGGGATAGAGAAAGGGTAGTTTGGGAAAGGGGAGAGGCCACATTGAGTTACGAGAGATGGTGCTGCACCTATGGAGGCCTCCACCTCCCCTAGAAGAGGGAAGTTGATTGGAAGAAATTTGGCACTCTGCCTATTCTGGATGATGTTGGAGCCTGTTGGTGAGTTTAGGAGTCACTAATAAAGGCCTGCAACCCTCCAAGAAGTGGTTTGAAGCCCTAGCCTACCTGGCCTGCAACCCTCCAAGAAGTGGTTTGAAGCCCTAGCCTACCTCGGACTGGAAATTGTTGGACTGCCATAAAAGTTACCAAAGAGGGCCTGCTGCTGCCTAGGTGCTTGCTGGATCACCCATTGAAGCCTTTGAAACCTCCTTCATCTTCTTTCTCTACTTCATCTTTATGAAGTTTGACTCTAGAAAGTACAGGCGTGCGCGCGCGCACGAGAGAGAGAGAGAGAGAGAGAGAGAGAGAGAGAGAGAGAGAGAGAGAGAGAGAGAGAGAGAGAGAGAGAGAGAGAGAGAGAGAGAAGGGGGAGGGAAACCGATTCCTTTTCTTACTTGTCTTGTTTTTTCCTCTTTTCTCCTTCTTTTTCTCCTCTCCTTCTTCTTCTTCCTTCTCCCTTTCCTTTTCTTCTTCTTCCCCTCGAACAACTTCTTCCTTTTCTTTTCCTTCTTCTTCTGCTTCTTCTTTTTCTTCTTCTTCGCCTTTTTTTTTACTCCCATTACACTCCACATTTGGAAAAGGTCTATTTCTCAAATCTTCTGCGGATGTAGTTGAGCTTCGTCAAGTTTGCTGCAATTTAGCTAGGTTGTGATTTGTCGATTTCTGCTGCAAATGGGTTATGGGTTATAATTAGAAGTCTGTGAAATTCCGCTGCGACTTGGGTTAGTCCATAGGTTAGTTAGGAACTTGTCAATTTCTGTTGCAACTCGGGTTGGTCTAGGATAATTAGGAGCTTGTCAATATTTGCTGCACCTTGGTTTAGACTGGGGTAGTCAGTAACTTGTCAATTTTCTACCTGTTCTTGATGACGAATAGTTGCTTCTGAACTTTTCCACTTGGTTGGTTAGCTGCACTCTCCTACACTTGGTGTAGCTGCATAGGCTCCTGTACTTCCCTCTCTACTTTTACCTTCCCCACCTCCAAAGATCTGGCCTTTACCCCTCCCCAACTTCCATAGCCACTTCCGAGCCTATCCCCTACCTCTGCTGCTCTACCTACCCCCTACCTGACCTCCATAGCCACCCCCAACCTGCCAACTACCTTGGCTGTACCTACCTACCCCTTCCCAACCTCCATACCCACTTTCAAGCCTATCCTCTACCTCCGCTACTCTTTCCTACCA